TTCTTCTTTTTTAAAGATTTATTTACTTTTATTGAAAAGGCAGATCAAATTTATGGAGAGATAGAGAAAAAGATCTTCCATCCACATGTTCACTCCTCAAATGGCCGCAATGGTCAGAGCTGAGCCAATCTGAAGCCAGGAGCCAGAAGACTCCTTTGGGTCTCCCAGTTGGTAAAAGATCCCAAAGCTTTGGCCCCTGGCCTAAAGGCTTTCCCATGCCATAAGCAGGGAGGTACATGGGAAGTGAAGCAACCAGGACACAAGCCAGTGCCCACATGGGATCCCAGCACTTGCAAGGCAAGGATATAACCAATGAGTCATCATGCCAGGCCCTTTTCTTCCTTTTCTTACACTGTTATGTCATGATATATCTTTATATCAGAAAGCAAACCTGTAATGGTAAAATTAATGGCCAAACCATGGTAATAATTTGGGGGACAAATAATAGGAGGAGCATATAAAAAGGGGGAAGAGCAAGAGGGAGTAGAAAGGATGATCCCCTATGCATGTAAATCTGTATCGTGGGAACGAAAATCATAATAATAATGTCAATAACATCTATATAGCCCTTAAATTATCCCAGGCCCCATTCTAATTATTTAATATATAAGCCAATGTAATATATGTCAACAATCTTGTGAGATAGGTGTCAATCACAATTATCTCCATCCTACAGATGTGAGAACTGAAGCATGAAAGTCAAGGTCACACAGTCAAATTTCAGTTCTCTGGGCTATGGAATAAGCCACAATATTCTATACTAAGAATCTTACATATAATTACTCAGAGAAGCCCAGAGAAGCAATGCAGACCATAGTGGGGTTAGAAAACTAGATGGGCAAAGAGGCCTGTAAGATACTCAAGAGAAAGCAACTCTGGGCCGTATGAAAAAAAAAAATCAGAGTTTAGAAGTATCAATGAACACTGCATAGCAAATGACAGTGTGAAGAACTGTCTTTTAGGGCCTATTCTTTCAAAATGGTCATTTCCACTGTCTTTTGAACATGTCACCTCAACTAACCTCCATACAAGTAGTCAGCCTGGCAAACAAACTCTTATCCAGGGATAAAGCCGATAGTCCTAACCTCACAAAACCAATCAGGTAAGAGGTTGGGAATGTTCTCTGACATGTGACAAGGCGTATAGTCCATCACCTCTTCATACCCTCCCAGCATACTTCAGGTTGTGCTGGAAACTCAAAAGTTATTCAGGCAGCCTTGGGATACTTGCATGTTTTCTAGGCCACCCAACAAGTGTCACTTCAGCCTAATTTGAATACTTTGCTCCCAGACAGCCTATTCCTAGTGAGATGACTCCAACTTCATTCCTTGACATTTCTCTGAGATTCTCGTCACCAGGTCATTTTTACTATATATTTTATGAAGAGTTGTACTTGAAACTATAGTTCTTTAAATCTCTTCTAAAAGTTACCATGTGTGATTTTACCACTACCTGCCTTCCAAATACATATGCTCAGCTGCACAAACAACCCTTCATTTAACTTGGGTTTAAATCACTCCATCAGGGGCTGGCATCTTACAGCAGTGAGTTAAACCATCATCTGCAATGACAGTATCCCATATGAGTGCTGGTTCAAGTCCCTCTACTTGTTTTTTGATCCAGCTCCCTATTAGTATGCCTGAGAAAGCAGCATAAAATGGCCCCAAGTATTTGAGCCCTTGAACCCACATTGGACATCCAGCTACAGCTCAGGCTCCAGCATTCAGGCTGTAGCAGGCTGAATTCTTTCAAATAAATAAATACTTATTCAAAAATAAAATAAAATAAATCACTTCCTCATCTTGCCCATTCTAATGTCCAAATATGATCTATGTTTTTCACTTGTCTCTTACTGTGTCCCATAGCAGGAATATTATGATACTTGCTCATATTAAGCATATATTTTTAATTTATTTATTTTTATTGGAAAGTCAGATATACAGAGAGGAGGAGAGACAGAGAAGAAGATCTTCCATCTGATGACCCACTGCCCAAGTGGCCACAATAGCTGAAACTGAGCTAATCCAAAGCCAGGAGCCAGGAACTTCCTCTAGGTCTACCACACGGGTGCAGGGTTCCAAGGCTTTAGGCCGTCCTCGACTGCTTTCCCAGGCCACAAGCATGGAGTTGGATGGTAAGTAGGGCTGCCAGGATAAGAACCAGCAGCCATATGAGATCCTGGCACGTTCAAGGTGAGGACTTTAGCCACTAGGCCACCACACCAAGCCCTAAGTATATTCTAAAGATTTGTTTCATATATGTTATTTCTAGTAATCATTGTTCACCCTTCTTCTACTCATGTAGCTATTTTACAGAGTCCCTGTATACCTACTAAATTTAATACCAGATTTGTGAACTTGGACTTCATTTAAAAAGTTGTGACTACTTCCCCTAACTTCTAATAGCTAAATCCACTAGTGCCAAAACATTACAGACTAAACTAAGTCCCACTACCTCAACTGATCTTGATCAAGACAAGAGTACATCAATGGCCTTAGCCTAACATGTGAAACACAGAATTAAGTCTTTTTTCAGTCTTTACTGGCAAACTAATCCTAATATTAGGCATCTCCAGAAGTAGCCCTTAGCATCTCTGTGTTATCCCTTAGCTTTTTCATTCCTCCTTTATCTCTAATATTAAATATGGAGTTGAACCTAAACCATCAATTTATGGCTACAGTTTACCTCTTTTGCCCACATCAGTGATCTTGAAAGGATATTATGTTATAGGAAGGAAAATAAGACAAAATTTCAAGATTAGCCATTTCTAGAAATTATCATTTGAAAAACCCTCTAAAAGTGTTGACTCAAAATCAAAGAACTATGAAAGTAAAACTATATGAATGTGCAAACATTTTACTCATAAATTTTACTCTCAAACTGGAATAAACAAAGAACAAAATTAATCATGAAGAGAAGAATAAGTTTCAGGACAGGACAGTTACTAGCAGTTAATCACTTCCATCCAGCCTTCTCCACTTACAAGCTGTGTAACCCTGAGGAGGTTTTGCAACACATCTTGGCCTCCACTGCTTCATCTACAAAATAAAGATGGCAGCATTTATCCTACACTGCAGTTGTAAGGATTAAATAATTTAATATTTGTAAAGAACTTAGAATAATATCTGGCCCAGAGCTGCTACTTAAGAATTGCTGTTGTCCAATTCTGCAGTATTCTTTCCCACTCGGATAATAACCAACTCCTGATATTTATTTTATTTCTTTAAGTCTGCAGCCAAATACCACAAGGCACTGGAATGATATATAAGATTTCTTATAGAATCCAGATTTTCAGCCAAAAATAAAACCATAAAAACATGGTAGAGAAAACAGACACATATTCAGGACATATAATAAATAAGCCATATCTTCGCCTCTTTTGGCTTCTGTAACAAAATTCCTTAAACATGGCAACTTAAAAGTAACAAAAATTTTATTTCTGACAGCTATAGAAGCTAGGAAATCTAGAAACATAGTGCTGGCAAATTCAGTATCTGAGAAAGGGTGGCTTCCTGACAGATGGTACCCTATGACTATTTTAATCACATCACCATTCCTATTCATGAGGGCTCCATCTGATAGTCTCCCAAATGCTCCCCTACACTCTTAACACCACCATACCACCATGGGGGAAAGGATTTCAACATTAATTTTAAGGTGACAAAAATACATCCAGGCTATAGCAGTCTGAATAAATTTTTGAATGATAAGTCTTACCTACCTTAGATTGGCAGGTTTAAGGTAAGAGGAAGTACCAAAGTTTTCAAAACCAGTCAAACCACAAATATTTTATTTATCATATCAAGTTTGCAATGTCCATCACTACTACTACAACTACTTCCAAAAACTCTTATACACTTCTTAAGAATTCTCATTTCTTCTATTTCTTTACCATATCAATAAACTTCAGATGGAAAGAAGGCTCCAGAAATCAAAATTCCATGAAAAGTGAACAAAGACAATCTACAGTAAGAAGTACAAGACTTTGTACTCCCTTTCAATCTCCCAACTTACTCATGTTAGGTGGTCTGACATCTCCATTAGGGCTGAGTCAGTGCTGTGATCCATTGCCAGTGAGTAGTAAGAACAGCTCAGCTAGATATGACCATGAGATATAACAACCCACAGTCAGGACTGACTTACCTTTTTGGGATAATACCTTAATCATTGCCAGGGAGCAACATATAGATTGAATAATAACATAACATAGTAACTGGAAACAGGACCAGGTTCTAAGAAGCTAGGCATGAGGCAACAGTGCTGAGAATGATGATAAAAGTAGGAACCAAAAAAAAAAAAAAATTACAAGTCATAGGAACCTGTAGCAGGGTATGGCAACAAAGGGGCCATATGGTTAAAACGTGATGCATCTTAATGATCATCCCAGTGATAGAATTTAGTAAGAGACATCAAATAGTACAGCTATGAATTGCAGCTGGAGCAGCCATGGAAGGCAGGATGTAAGAAGAATGACAAGTTCAATTTTTACCATGTTTAATTGTAGGTAAAAGCCAAGTATTCAGTTGCAAACATTCCTCCCTCATCAGTAATAATATGTCTTTAAATTAAAAAGACAAAAAGACAAAAAGACATGAAAATATAAAGTAGGCTCAAAAAAAGATTTAGTACATGTTAAAATAATGATCAATAAATATAGTCATTCTGAACAAAAGTAGGAGTATTTAAGCTATAAATTCAATATATACAGATAGTTTTGGAGAACTACCAAAGTTTCCCATGAAAACATTTGTATCACTCTCCAACAGGGCCTATTAGGATTATGAATCATTACCCTGATTTCAGATAGTATTTTTCAGGCTTATTACATTGCATAAGTTACAAATACTATAAGTCCTTTTTGGCTGTTACTCAAATTCTTACTGACAGATTGCCATGTTTGGTTTAACATTTAAGAACAACCCTAAAATAAAGGACTGAAACATCTCTTAGTACTACCTCCAATTACACCACTGCCTCCAATTCAACTTTAACTGACTTACCACGTTTTCCTTCATCCTTCTCAGCTTTTCATTTATCTCTCGTAGTCGATTTTGCTGGTCCCGCTCCTCTTTGGTGTTCCGGAGGACCTTTTCTCCTGGAGATATTTCCATATTTCTTTCATTATTAAGGCCACATGCCTGAATTTTTGAAAAAAAAAAAATCATAGGCAAAACTGAGTTTCTGCCACTCATTACTCCAAAGCAACTGAGCTTTGACCTCTTACACAACATGTGTCTTCTCTTCAGATCAATATTCATAATGTTTTAAAATTTTCCTATTTGAGAGAGTGGATGTTCAACCTCACAAATCAGGAAACAAACTTAACTTCTGCATCATCTGCACAGCAGGAAGATACAGTGGTAAAAAGGGGCTGCCAGGAAGTAAGGACCCATATTCTGGTCTCTGGTGTGATACATGTAAGCTTGGGATGCCAGCAACTCATAATTTCTTGGGACTTCAAGTTCATCAAACATCATATAAATCATATGAAAAACCACGAGATCCATGGGTATAAGAGGAAGCTGAGTGATATTGGGAAGAAACGCAGGAGTTTTTAAATCTTGTTTCAACCTGGTTCCTAACAAAGATGGCCTTACGCAAATCAATCTCTGAGTTTCAGTTCCAAGATCAGTAAAATGATATCAATGACATGATGGAGCCCAAAAGTCTCTAGAGTACGTACTCCAGATGAAGCAGATCCTAGCATCTAACAAATGTGAAAGAATGACCATTATGTGATGAAAGTGCTTCAATTTTGAAAGCAACATTAATGTTGACAGGATCATTATTCACCAATTAATGTTACTTTTATGTGACAAAAATTGGTATTTCCTGATAGCGAGTTAATCCTAAATTTGAATGTAAGCTTCCCTTCCCCTCTTCCATAGACTTTCTTCTCTGCACTACCACCTAAGTATTTAGCATGAGATGAAATTTAAAAAGTTACTCAAGCCAGAATTCTCCTGCTCCCTCCTTCCTGCCACACTGTTGGCCATCAACAAGACTCACCATTTTAGTTTTTAATATGGCATTTTAATATGGCATCTCCTTTAATATGGCACTTACTTTCTTCTCATGCCTTAGTTTAGATCTCTTCCATTCACCAGTAATTTTCAAATTCCAGCACACTTCAGAATCACCTACAGAGGCTGTGGGGAATAAACACATAGCCACAGCTCCACCCAGCAAATGCTGACTCCAGATCTCATTCACAGGGCAAGAGTTAAGCCCTGCCAACCTGCATTCAGAAGCACTAGAGAATCTGAGAACTATTGACTCGAGTTATTGCCTGAGGGTCCTACTAGATCTTGATGTCACCAGTTGCTCTTTGCCGAGAAACCATAGAACAGGGTCAAGGCCCTGCCACGCTCTCCATCTCATCTCACCCATTGCTTGGGTCTCAGACTCAAAACCCCAGCAATATTTACTCCTGCTAATTTTCCACTTCTCATCTATGATTCTGTCTTCAAACTCTGTGGTAACTCATCCATTTTGAGCCTAGCTCAAGCATAGTCTGTTTAAAATATTCCCTAACATGCAAGGAACAAGCAGTTATCCTCTCATGTTTGCCAAGTGTTACTTGGCTGAACTTACTACACTGTCATAAACCAGGGAGTGACATGACTGATCCTATTCTACATCCCAACATAAACTGGAATCCCAAAGAAGCCTAGGTGTGGTACAAGACACTTTGCTTTAGCTCCCAGTCTCTAGAACAAATGTTTGCCTATGAATAAGATTTCAGTGAAATTCTTGTTGTATAAAATGCTAATGAGTAAACTACCAAGAGAGTGCATCAATTTAAAGAAAATATTGATATTTTGTTTTACTTCAGGGATATTTCAATCTCTAAAAGCTTCCAGAAGCTGAATATTTTAAAGAATTTTTAAAAAGGGCAACCTAATGTTAGGGAGTAGTTCAGACAGGACAGTACGTATTTGGAAAATCCTAGAAAAGGGGATTCACGGTGTTTTGAAAACAGCTACCCAGGATTTCATTTTTAAATGGTAAGCACTTTTAAATAGAAAAAACAAAACAGCTTTAATAACTTATAACTATGATTTTTAAAAGAAACGTGAGGTGTAACAGAGAAAGAAAAATTATAATTTGACTTATAGGATGTTTAACTTTTGCTTGCCCAAACTACCATTTAGAAAATAGACAAATCATGGTCTGAGATAAATGTTTATAACATACAAATCAGACAAAGAATTTGAACAGAAGCAATACAAGGAACTCCTATAATCCAAAAATAAAAATAATAAAATAAGCAATAAAAAAAGTTGAATTTGACAAAGATGTGAACACATACTTCATCAAAAAGATACAAAAATGGGGCCCGGCGCGGTGGCGCAAGTGGTTAAGGTCCTCGCCTTGCACACCCGGGATCCCATATGGGCGCCGGTTCTAATCCCGGCAGCCCCGCTTCCCTTCCAGCTCCCTGCCAGTGGCCTGGGAAAGCAGTCGAGGACGGCCCAAAGCTTTGGGAACCTGCACCCGCGTGGGAGACCCGGAAGAGGCTCCTGGCTTCAGATCGGCATAGCATTGGCCGTTGTGCTCACTTGGGGAGTGAATCATTGGACGGAAGATCTTCCTCTCTGTCTCTCCTCTCTGTACATTCGCCTTTCCAATAAAAAAATAATAAAAATAAATCTTTAAAAAAAAAAGAATGTTATACTGCTATAGCTTTAAAAAAAAAAAGATACAAAAATGACATATAAGAGCAAAAGAAAGTTGCCAATAGTGTTAGCCATAGGAGAAATGTAATATTATAAGTAAAACAAGATATCTCTACACCATCACTAAAATGATCCAATGAAAAAGTTCATTAACACCAAATATTGGAAAATTACGGTACAGAACTTTTTATAAATTGTTGATGGGAATATATAATCATACAACCACTTTGAAAACCTCACACTTTCTTATAAATGTAAACATTTGCCTATCCTACAAACTAAGATATATGACTCAAGCCCAATGTCAATGAGCCAAAAACTGAAAAAAGTCCATGCATCCATTGACAGGAAAATGGTAACTGGTGAACAGCAGACTAGGCTGGGAAAATCAGACTTTCTCTTTGATTTCTTTTCACCGAAAAGGTTTAGTCAATGTGAGAAGAAGGCTGTTACTAAGACGTCGGAAGAAGCAAAGTTGGATGGCTTGATGAATTTTTTCCTTCCCTTTCTTGTTTTGATATCACAGTCCAAGCAGTGATATACCTCTGTACTGGCCAGAATTTTCTGAAATCCAACTGAATATTCATAATAACAAAGCTAACAAAATCACACTTAACCAATATGAGGTTAAGAAATTCAGCAAGGCAGTAATGGGCACACCTTTTGCCATGGGAGTGTTTATTATCATTCATACTAAAACAGAACAGGTATGAGGGGCAAGGAAGTTACCTCATCCTAAAATCCTGAAATAATACCACAGGCAGAGAGCCCAGGGATCCAGCAAGAGACATGCCCAGCCAGAGGAATCAGAGCACTTAGGAAAGCCCGAACTAAGGTTTCCCTACCAGATCTTCATAACTCTCCCAATCCAGGGAACATTTTTAACATAAGCAAAGATGCCTCCTAGCACAGCAAGTATTCCAACTTTTATCAAATCACCATAGAAACAGAGTTAAGAAATTAACTACAGCTCTGAAGTTGGAGGGGCCGGTAAGTCTTTTGTCAGCACCCAGATGGCCAATTCTTCAACCATGACACCAACTCTCCTAAGGCTCCTAGAACAGTTTTTAACACCCTGTCCATTGCTGCTAGTCTCCAGGAACCCCAGTATCCCTTGTTACTGCTTTTACATTGACAATAGGCTCTTAATTTATCTTCATAACTCAGGCTGAAAGTTCCTTCTATTTCCTGTCCAGAATTCCGTTAGACTACTTATGTTTGTGTGTACACACTTGTTTCCATGCATGTCTCTGCGTATGTATCTGCAGACATACTGGAAATTTCATTGTAATTAACTGGATAGCAAAAGTCTAAATTATTTTATCTTATTTTTCTCATTTTTTTTATAATTCCTGGACGTCTGACAGCATAACCATATAGTTCAAATATTTGAATATCAAAGAAGGAGCAAGAAAAGGTAGTCACTGTTGCTGGCAAAACAGGCTCACTTGCATATTCAAAAAGTTCTGTGGCATCAGAAGTAATTTGGTGTTTTCTTTTGCTCACAGCAAAATGCCAACCAGTACTGCTTGCTTTTATGAGCATCAAGAAATATTTTACTTTCATACAGTAGAAATGTTTTCTTTTAATTTTGTTTTTTCTCATTTATTTGTATTTCCCATAACTTTTTGAAGTACCTTTGAAGTACCTATGAAACTGACAACTTTGTACATCTATGTATGTGTGTCCAGATATTTACAGATAGGTATATTACCTGCTATACACATACAGAAATATAAAGCACATATGTAAATATAGCTAATATGATTATTATCATTTGTTATTAATAAACTATGTATTCATGATATACTTGTAAAACTACATATTAGGTGATTACATGGGATACAGATCATACTACAGGAAAATTTGGAAGAAAGGTAGAGAAGTTGTAATGAGAAAAATAAAGTTTATAAATGTCTTTTATATATATTTTTTTTTTAAATTTTGAATCATGCGGTACAATTTCGTATAGGCTGGGATTCCCCCGCAAACTCCCACCCCCGACATATTTTCCCCATTTTACTACAATAGTGTAGTCCTTCATAAGGATCATAATTGTATTCGTCTCTTATTTAAGTGAACCCCAAAATTGTTGGTACAGACAATGTCAGGCAGTCAAGCATCCCATTGTCCACACATATCCAACAGTTTCACTGGGAATCCACCTTTCATCTGAAAGCAGAGACGCATGTTCCATTATACCCCCACATCTGTACATGACAGACCCCAGTACTCCATCACTATACATTTCCATAATTGAGAAGGCATGAAACCACGTCAACAACTGGTATGGTATGAGTTAGAACAGCCACAACAACAACAACATCAACAACAAATTACAGCACCATGAAAAAATGTACCACACACAGTAGAAATGTTTAAGCAGCTCCATTGGCCAACATACTATTTCCGTATTTCTGAGTCACACAAAAATGCTTGCAGGAAGAATTCAGTAAAAG